TGGCATTGGACGACTCAAAGCTCACTCGCTTCTTGAGGATTCCATTCTGCTGCTCCTTGGGCTCTTTGCTTGGGGGGCTGAAAAAGTCCGCACGAATGCTTCTATCAATAACCAGTCTCTTCATGCTGCCAGTGCTGTTGAATCTAGCACTTGGACTGGCGGAGAAAGCTCCTGGGGTCAGAATGCTGTCTTGGTTGAACGAGGTGTTGTAGGAGTTCCTGAGGCTGCTTGTCGACATACTCTTCGAGAGCTTGTTCTGGCCAAGGCTAGCACCAAGCAACGAGTTTCCGAATCCTCCAGGTGTGCTAGTTACGCTAGAAGCGCTGTTGGGAGTTCCATACGTGCTATATGTGAAGCCGAAGCCGCCACGCCGTTGGGGCGTGCTAAGACGTGATCCCGAAGAAGGGCTGAGCTTGTACAGAGGGATAATGCCAGCTTTCTTCTGCTTCGACAGACTCGAGAGAGGCGTTGCGAGCGGACCTGGGTTGGTGAGATCTGGCGTGGCGAGATTTGAGAACATTGAACCTGCGCCAAATGCTGCAGGATCATTGATACTGGTAGTAAGCTGTCCCTGTTGTTGTTGTTGTTGTTGCTGCTGCTGTTGCTGGCCCTGCTGCGGGCCGCCGAATAACGAGCTGCCTCCGAAGAGAGAACCGCCTTGCTGAGCTTGCTGTGGCTGCTGTTGCTGTTGGCCAACGTTGCCGAATAACGAGCTTCCAGTACTTTGCTGGGTGTTGCCGAAAAGACCACCTCCGGTTTGAGCAGGTTGGGCGGCACCGAATAGTGGCTTGGCTTGCTGGCCACCTCCGAAAAGGCTGCTCCCTGTACTCTGGGCTTGCTGAGGTTGCTGTTGGCCAAATCCACCAAAGAGGCCACCACCAGCGCCGGCTGCGGGTGCTGCAGCAGGCTGGCCAAACAGACCGCCGGTGGGTGCGGCCGGCTTGGCGCCGAAGAGGCCACCGGTACTTGCAGCAGCTGGTTGTGCGCCAAATCCTGTACCGGCTTGCTGAGCTGGTTGCCCAAACAAAGAACCGCCCGTGGCCGCTGGCTGGCCCCCGAAGAGGCTTGTGCCTGTGGTTGCGGGTTTGGGTGCACCACCAAAGAGAGAGGTAGGAGCTGCGGCTTGTTGCTGAGTGCCTCCGAAGCCCCCAAACAGGTTCGATCCCGCGGCTGGCTGGGCAGGGGTCGCACCAAATGGATTCGTTGGTGCAGGGGTTTGTGTCTGGCCAAATGGGTTAGATGCGGGAGTCGCTCCGAACCCAGTCGTTGGTGCACCGCCAAATGGCGTCGTAGATGCGGCTGGAGCCCCAAACAATGGCTTGTTGGGTGTGCTGCCAAAGAGCGAAGGAGCAGACGTCGTTGCCGGTTGCGCCCCAAATCCTGTGTTCGTAGCTGTATTCGTGGCGCCGAATCCAGTAGAGGGCGTAGAGCCAAACCCAGACTGGGTAGCCCCAAAAAGCCCACCGGTGGCAGGCTTCGGCTGTTGCCCGAATAGACCTCCTCCTGCAGTAGTACTGGCACCAAATCCTGTGCTTGGCGTGGTTGTCTGGCCGAATGGGTTCGATGCCGTGTTAGTTTGCCCGAATAGGCCACCCCCAGTGTTGGTGCTGCCGCCAGCACCAAATCCCGTAGCTGGCTGCTGAGTACCACCGAAACCGCCAAAACCAGTGGACGTGCCAAAAGCACCCGCCTGCCCACCGGAGTTGGCGTGCCTGCGGCCTTGCGCGTAATCAGCCAGCCTCAACTCTTCTTGGGAGAACTTGACGTATGGTTGCTGGAAGCATATATTTTCAAACCTTACTTGTTGATTTCCGGAGACGTTGGGCTCTTTCTCAACAGTGGGTTGAAAGGGGACAGAAGCTGTTCCCTGGCACTCTTGGCTCGCACCGCCCAGAGTGCTAGTAGCACCTCCAAACCCGGTATTTCCTCCACCAAATGCACCGCCAGTGCCGGTATTGGCGCCAAATGGGCTGGCGGCTGGTGTCGCTCCAAAGCCGGTCGTTGCGGGCTTTGGGGCACCGAAGAGACCACCGCCACCGAATCCAGTATTTGTGTTGCTAGTAGTGCTGGCACCAAATCCACCAAACCCCGTGTTTGCTGCCGGAGTCGTCGTGGATGCGCCGAAGAGACTGTTCCCTGTAGTTCCTGTCGATCCAAAGGGTTTGTTGGCGGTAGCACCAAAACCGGTGTTCTGTGTAGCGCCGAATCCTATTTGAGTTGTTAGTTGTCTGCGCGATACAGGTCCCATAGGTTTATGTGAAGTCGGCAATTGAGAGAGCGTCGATATCAGGTCCTGCGCATCTGCCATATCGCCGGAGTGGGCCGATAGTTATAGAGCGGCCGAAGTTTGTCGCAGCGAGGGCGCGAGTCCATATCGACGGAGCAGGCAGCTCCCTCGATAGCCAAAACAAATGGTGCATTCTCGACGTACCTCCAGAACCGAATCCCCCCGTGTTGCCACCAAAGGCGCTTGTCCCGGTATTGTTCTGCGCGCTTCCAAAGCCAGTTCCGGTCGAGGAAGCACCAAATCCTGTAGGTACGAGAAGGTTCGAGTGAGCCCTAGCTTCGCCAGTGTGACCCGTTGCAGGCAGTCGAGCTCCGTCGCGTCTGGGATGTAAAGAAAATGAGGGTTGCATACCTGTATTTGTATTTGTAGATTGGCCAAAGCCGCCGAAGCCCGTGTTCTGTTGCTGCTGGGCATTGTTTTGCTGGCCGAAGCCACCGAATCCACCGAAGCCCGACATTGTCGCTGCTGTCAATGGGTTGATGAGCTTTCAGACAAAGCTGTAAGGTTGGAGGAGTCGTTGAAGTTGCCTCCTAGAATTGCGACACGCCGTCGCGCCTCAAAGTTTTGGTTGTCGCGCTCAAAAGAATGTGATCGCGGCAAGCATAACAGGCTGGTATTGAAGTAGCTGAAGACGACCTGTCTCAGCTGTCTCGACAATGGATGAATCAGCGAATTCGTCAAGCGTGGACAGCAATCGAGATGATATAACGCGCTTCGTCTTTTTTGTCGGTCGTGGTCAAGGTTACCTCTCGCTTATACAACACATCAAGCGCTCATCCCAGGAGGCAACAACACGTGACTTAAACAAGCACTAGTGTCTCTCAAATGTCGAAATAAGCAATGTGCACGAAAACTGGTGTTTACAACAGAGTGATTAAAATCAAAATCAAGGCAATCAATCACTCAGAACTGTAGTCAACAAGGCAGTTACTCATAAATAGAGTCAAAGGTTTAACTTCTATTTGCTTAAATTGTTTGGTATGAGTCTTCAGGTAAGGCAGTCGTCACTGTTTTGGGGAGGCATGAGTATTTATGCTGGACTGAAATGGACTCGGCCCCTTTTGCCAGGCTGCACGTGGTACAACAATTCACGGCTTTGTAAGCACTCCAACTGATAACTTAAGGACTGGCTGTATAGCGTGTTTTTACATGTTTCATAGTAATCGAATGGGATAACTATGCAGATGGGCGACGCAGTTGGCAGTCATCTTGTGGTTTTCATTGGGTACGATTGCATCAGGCAGAACTGCCTCTCCAGGCTCCAACCACGAACCTGCTAGGATTTCCGGTGACCACTCTGCTCAGAGTCATAATAACCAACTCCAATGCCACTTATCGTCACAATTTGCAAGTCATAGAAATCTAGCCCCCTATGGACCTCCTCTGGTCGACATGAATTATATTGGCGCCTGAGGCCTAAACTTAAACCTTAAGCTGAGTGGCGCGGCGCGTCGGAGCCAAAGCTCCAAGCGTGTCCCCCGCCATATCCCATCCCCATAATTCCTCATTCGAGTACGAGTACGCGACGACAATTAAAGACATATAAAATTACAGCCACTGCACATTCCAGCACAACGTCAGACCCTCCCCGTGCCGTCTGCGACCACATACACACCCTCAACGCGCCGACACCATGGCATCCTCCCAGCACCCCTCCTTCCCCATCCGCCCATATCCCTCCTCCATCTCCGGCCCCTCCCAACAACCCCCCCAGTCCTCCACCCGCGGAAAGCCCATCAGCTTCAGTCAATCACACGCCCCCGCCGCCCGCGAGGCAGCGCGCATCGAGCGCGACCGCCTTGATCGCGAGCGCCAGCAAGTTGCGCAAAAATCAGCCCATGCGCAATCGCAGGCGCCGAGCGCACTATCGCAGTTAGCAGACGAGCAGCGCGATGAGGTTAATGAGGCTGTGAGTATGCACTTTCGTTTTAATAGGTACATGGCTGATTATAGGATAGTTTGCGCTGTTTGACTTGGATAAGGATGGCCTCATCGACTACCACGAGTTCAAGGTTGCGCTCAAGGCGCTCGGTTTCGATCTCCCGAAACCGGAATTACTCGACCTGCTCACCTCCCATGGAATAGCTCCGCCGTCATACCAGGTGCCGCCAGGATTGTCGGGGCAGCATGTGGTTCCGGCGTCTAGGTTGCATCTCACGCTCAATTCGTTCCAGCAAATCGCCTCCGAGCTGATCCTAGCTCGAGACCCGCGCGACGAGATCCTAAGGGCGTTTGATCTCTTTGATACGGAGGGGAAGGGCATGATATCTTTGGATGATTTACGGAGGGTAGCGCGGGAATTGGGCGAGGGCCTGGAAGAGGAGGAATTGTTGGCGATGATTGAGGAGTTTGATCTTGAGGGGAAGGGAGGAGTGGGGAGGGATGAGTTTATTGGTATTTGCATGAACTGATGTGGGATGGCATAGGATAAAAGGCACGTGTCTACGGATTGTGGACCTCGCTGGTGGTGTTTGGATGGTGTTTGTTACATGGCCTTGGTTGGGTTGTATTGATTTTGACATGGGATATGACAGCGCGGAGTATAAGGCGCAGGATTATATGTATGTATGCCTTGTATCAATGATTACAGAAGTTGTTCTGATGCACTCAGATCTCTGGAATGTGGAATGGCCTCAGGAGCTTGTTCTGGATGTGAATTCCTATGTATGATACCCGCCTACATATATATCACCAAAAATATATGCAAAAAGATCGGGGTGCACCGGATTCGAACCGATGACCTCCTGAATTTTCCTGGTTTACTTTGAGAACTGTTGTCTAAAGCCGTACAACGTTGAACACGGCGTTTTGCGCGAGTAGAACGTGTGTGGCCAGAGATTTTTATTCTTGACTGACCCCCAGTGGAACCACCTCTCGAATTGAATATGAATCCAATCGAGTAGGAGCAGAAATCAGGAGCGCTACCACTGCGCCAGCACCCCATTTTTGTTGGAAGTGTTTGGTTTAATTGCCTTTTAGGTGTATGGCGTTTGTTAGACAGCAAACAGTGAGAACCAGTAAGAACAATGAGACAGTGAGAATGGTGAGAACGACGGGAACAGCGAGAGGCCTTGCAGCAAACAAAGGCGGTGTTATTAATTTAATCCTGTGATGTTAGAAAGCATATTGCCAATTATCTACCTATGAAGCTATTCATCTATGTTTTGTCGCTGATATATTTTACGCATATAAACCAAAAATTATTATGGGACAGCAAATAAGACATTCAGGGCTCAGAGACACTCATGATCCCCCCAAGAGTTTATATTAACTACGAATAATTAAAATACCTTATTTTCACTTAGAAATCACATTTAAAAAGGGAACTCGTAATCTTCAATCTCAATATAAATTCGTTTCCAGCAAGTGAATGAAAACAGCCATTGAATCACGTGCCAGGAGGCTCAATTGAGACTCCGCTTGCCACTTACCGCACTAGCGCGATTACGTCCTCCTGTGCACGATCAAGTACAGCGTCATCTTGCACCGCCCGACAGATAGACCTGAATCGCGAACCCTGTGGCCAACCAACATTTTCCTACACCGCAAACCCCGAACCTTTTCCCCTCGTTATAACCAACTCTCCCTGGAGCTTTTCCTTGTGCGGATCCTAAACAGCCCTCATATTATTGTTTTCCATCAACTGAACCCGGATAAAACCGTTCGATTGATACTCGGTGTGGCAAAGACCCTGCACCACGTCACCTCCGTCGGCGGCGCAATTAGATCTGCCAAGGTCCCGCGCTCCAGCCACCCTCACTCACAACGACATCATCGCCGCCGAGTCCTATCACTTACCCCTCGAGATAAGCGCCATCGCTGCTACTAGATTGGGCCTGCTAGCCTGCGGACGAGTGCGAGAATACCGAGTTCCTCCTATACCATCTCACTGGTTGCACGACCACACCCGCCACAACCATGTCGAAGGTAATGCGAAGCGTGAAGAATGTCACCAAGGGCTACTCATCAGTGCAGGTGAAGGTTCGCAATGGTGAGATATACCCGTTGCGCACTGCTAAACCGGCCAGCAATGGACTGACCGATTGAAATTAGCCACGAGCAACGACCCATGGGGCCCGACAGGGACGGAGATGCAGGAAATCTCCCAGATGACATACAACTCGTAATGGACCCCTCCGATCCGAGCAAAATGCGGCGTCGCAAATAACAGCTGCTGATATGACGCAGATCAACCGAGTTCTACGAGATCATGTACATGATAGATAAGCGCCTCAACGACAAAGGGAAGAACTGGCGCCACGTCCTCAAGGCCTTGAAGGTCCTGGATTACTGCCTCCACGAGGGCTCCGAGATGGTCGTCACATGGGCACGCAAGAACGTCTTCATCATCAAGACCCTCCGCGAATTCCAGCACATCGACGACGACGGCCGCGACGTCGGGCAGAATGGTACGTTTCCCCGCACTTGTCCGAGCAGCAACCCCCAAGCTAACAAGCCACGCAGTCCGTGTCTCCGCCAAAGAACTCACCTCCCTCATCCTCGACGAAGAGCGTCTCCGCGCCGAGCGCAGCGATCGCAAGTCCTGGAAGTCCCGCGTAACAGGCATCGAAGAGTACGGCTCCTCCGAGACCTCCCCACCCCCCCGCCACGAGCGTCCCCACCGCGCCCAGCGCGCCGACGAGGAAGACGCAGAGTACAAGCTCGCCATCGAAGCGTCTAAGCACCAAGAGGAAGAAGACCGCAAGAAGCGCCAAAGCCGTCAGGGCGAGCCCGACGACGACGACCTCGCTAAAGCCATCCGACTCAGCAAGGAAGAAGAGGACCTGCGCCTAAAGGAACTCGAGGAAGCCAACGCCCAGAGCCTATTTGACGACGACCCCGTGCAGATGCAAGGCAACCAACCCCAATTCACCGGCTACAACCAAGGCTACCAGCAGCAAGGCGCCGTCGACTGGTCCGGAAACCCAATCGACATGTCCCAGGCCCAACAGCCCAACTACCTCAACGCCTACGCCACCGGCTACCCCCAGCAGCAGCAGCAGCAGACGGGCTACCAAACCGGCTACCAGAACGGATTCCCCAGCTTCGATCAATACGTGCAGCAGCAGACCGGGCAGACATCCTCCTTCCCATCGGCGCAGAACTACAACCCCTACGCCCAACAGCAGCCCCAGCAGCAACAGCAACCTGAACCCCTCGTCCCGGCAAACACCAACAACCCCTGGGCCACCAGCGCCCAAACCGCAATCCAAGCCCAAGCCCCCGCCCCCACAGGCTCCAACAACCCCTTCGCGACCTCTCGCCCCGCTCCCGCCCAGACATCCTCCCAACCCACCCTCTCCACGCTCCAAGAGCAAAAAACGCTTTCTTCTTTCAACCAACCGCAATTCTCCCAACAACCCTCTTCCTCCTTCACTCCCCCCCCCCAGCAACACCACCTCCAACCACAACAGCAGCAGCAGCAAAAAATCCCCTCCCCCTACGAAGCGCGCCTCGCCTCCCTCCTCGAAAACGGGGACGGAATGGACACCTTCGGGAACACGGGGAACCTGCGTATCCCAGCTCAACACACCGCTCCAGGGACGTTTGTGAATTCTGCCGGGGCGGGATTGCCGGGATTGAATGCGCAGCAGACGGGGGTGAATCCGTTTATGCAGAGTCAGTTTACGGGGATGCCGCAGACGCAGTATGGACAGGGACAGCAGGGGTTGCAGCATGCGCAGACGGGGGGGGGAAATCCGTTTGGGAGGCAGCAGGGGGGGGGAGGGGGGAATTTGATTGATTTTTAGGGAGGGTGGTGGTGAGGGATGGAAGAGGGATGGAAGAGGGATGGAAGAGGGATGGGAGAGGGATGGGGAGGGAGGTGGAGGGAGGGGGAAGGGGGGTGGTGGTTTTTGTATCTATTTTGTCTTCGCGAGCGGATGAAAATTCGAGGGAGGTGCGTTGTGTTTAGACTGGATGGAGATTGCTTACTTAGTACGTACGATGAAGGGGAGGGGTGCGTTGATGTAGTAGGGGTAGTAGATGGAAAGCTGAATTGAAATCGAGGATGAGAATTTAAGCAAATCGTGGTTGTGCTCTGTGCTCTGTGCGGAGTTTTAGTCTGGGGGTGGGAGTTGGTGTCTATCTATATCCCTTTTCTAACTGGCTCCATGTCTTAAAGGAGGGGGGGAGGCGTTGAGTGTGTGAGGGGTGCTAGTTTGTGGTTTTAAGACAGCCTATCTTTTCTCCACTAGGAACTCTTTCTCAGATCACTGCTTATTCCACATCTCCTCCACATCTCCTCCACATCTCCTCCACATCACCCCATCACTCCAACAGTAGTCACTCCCCTAAAAGACATGCAGCTGTGGTAGATCTATAAACCCATCATATTAGATACAAATATTATACAGTACAACCCCCCATATAAACAACTATATACCACCAACCCAAAACTATTAATAAATACTATATATAATACAACTTTCATCATCACCCCTGCCACCCCCCGAATATGTCCCCCTTCCGTAAAGACCATCTAAACGTGAAAAAGAAAAATCGACAACGCAAACGCAAAACGACAAACTAATAAACAAGAAACAAACAATAAAACAAGAATCCAAAATGATCCCCCCCGCCACCACCGCGCTGTACGATTTCGATCCCCCCAACCGCCCACTAGACAAAGGAAATAGTGATATGTACTGTAACGTTGGGTATTCATCACCCCCCTTCTTTTGAAACTCTCCCCAGCCACCCGCGCAAACCCCAAAAAAAAAACCAAAAACAAAGAGTACAAGAAAAGAAAAAATACATCGGTTGTCAGTCAGTTATCGATACACCTCCTTCCCTCCCCACTTCCCCTGATTGTGAGTTTGTTGGGTCGTTTGCCGTCAGTTCGCCGTCAGCTCACCATCCCCCAAAACCCTCCCCACCCACACTCCCAACAGCACTCAACCTCACCCCCGCCCGTCCCTTGACAGCGCCCATAAAACTCTCTCTTTCCCTCTCTCTCTCGCGTTCTCTCTCCCTCTCTCTTTCCCTCTCGCGTTCCCTCTCCCTCTCTCGTTCCCTCTCCCTGACTCTCCTCTCATCCCCACCCCCCCCAAACCTCTCCCTCTCACTCCTCTCACTCCTCACACTCCTGACGGACTTCTCTCCTCCAGCACCGGGGTTCGTGACAGGGCCCCCATTATTATTATCCAGACAAAACACCACACTCTCCCCATTCGAACTAACAGCAGACGTATTACTTATCCCACTCCTCACGCTCCCCCTAGGCATGAGTCCAACCCCACTATCCTCCCCCTTCCCCCCACCACCACCGCCAATGGTAACAACACTAGCAGTCCCCATATCCAACACCCCCTCCGCCAAAATCTCATCCCTCATCCTCGCCCTCTTCCTTCGCAGCGCAGACAACAGCGCCTGTTCCTGCGGCGTCACAGCCATCATATTCGCCGCCGCCGCCGCCGTCACCGTTGCTGCCGAAGCTGAAACTGGGACAGCGTGCGAGGGGACCGGGGAGCGCGAGGAAGTCGGTGTAGATGTCGCAGACCCGATTGAAAGGTGATGGCCGTTAGTATACCCATTCCCATTCGAAAACCCATTCGAATACCTATTAGAATACCCCGTACTCCCACTCCCCTGCCTCCCATGCCCCGCACTCCCCGGACTCGGCAGCCCCTCCACCGGCGGCCTGGATCTGGGCGCCGTACTCCTCAACGTGCTCGCTGTGCGAGAACTATTCGCCGTCCTCTCGCTCCTCATCGTACTAGCCTTACTCGCCGAGCTCGCCTGTCGTCTGACGCCATGCGGGACACCCGGTAATGCGCTACCCGGCGGCGGACCACTAGGGGGAGGAGGGATAGCGGTGGTAGGCGGTGAGGAGGCGGAGGATCGCCAGGGACCAGAGAGGTGCGGCGAGATGGGGGAGGGGATGGTGAGGAAGTCGCTGTGGTGCGGGCTTGGTGTGTTGAGTGAAGGATGCGAAGTCGAG